CAGGAATGTTGAGGAGAAGCTGAAGGTGGTGGGGGTCCCCACAGTTTTGCCCCGGCCGTGTGGAAGAGAAGCAGCGACGGCAGCTGCTTGACCAGTCGCCACGCAGCCCCACAATCCACTGAGCAGGAGGAGGGAAAACAGACATGCAGAGCCCGGAGTGCCTTTTCGGAACGGGACATGGCAGGGGTGGGGGCTCCGTCTTGAGCGGTCGGGACTCTTAACCGACGGAAGCCAAGATGACGTCCCCAGGGGCCTCAGCGATGCTTCGGACGGTTACCTGCATGGTCACGCCATCGCTCAGGGCCAGCCTCGCCCTGACCAGCACATCTAAGCCGCCCCTGTAAACGCCTGCGGGCAAAGAAGGAAACTGACACCCCATGAAGGAGAAAGCCCACCCCCCTCGAACTGGCCATTTCAGTCACCGTTCACAGCACGGCCAGCTGTTCTCTGCCTCCCTGAGCAGCCAACTACTTCAGCATGGAGGCGGGGAGTCTCCCTGCTCAGCGGCTGAAGGGTCAGCTGCCTGGGGAGGTGGGGAAGAACCAGCCGGGCTCCTTCTGGGATTTGTGCAACAACCACAACAAGCGAGCGTGTGCAGCGAACTTGCCAGTTCTGTGGTGCTGTGATTCATATTCATCTCCCCAGGGAGATACGAATATGGATATCCCCAGTCTGCTGCTGTCCATTTCCCAGTGTTTACTCAGGGATTTAAGAATAAAACAGGACCATTTCTGAAGGCAAAGCTTGGGTTCCAAGTGGTATCAAAAAGGGGAGAACCAGTGATGCCATTTCTTAAAGCGGTCTTAAATGCTTCCTGCTGGAATCGTTGCCGAGGAGAAGCAGACAGATTACGAAACCCCACGCTTCACTGAAGGGACACCCATTATGCGTTTTGTTAACCAGGTATGAAAATAAACCACCGGCCCACATTTTATCTAAAACTACCCAGACTACAAAACAAAGAAGACCTTCGTAACTGGTTATTAACCCAGTTATGCCTGAGCTTCATCGTGTTGCGCGTTTTAAGAGCAGGCCGGGAATGTCCGGATCGAACATATATATTTGGATCCATTTCGAAGGCTACACTCTACGCTTTACCCAAAAAGCATCTACCACCCACCGTACATGATCTGATACAGTTCCTTCCTCACAAGCAGGGCCCTTCTCTTTATGATCTGCGTGTTTAGCCCAACTCCACTCCTAAGAATCTCTGGCTGCAGCAAGGGAAGAGCCAAGAGTGATGCTTATATACCACCCCATGGCCCTTAAAGCACTCTCTGGGTGGTTTACAATTTAATGGTGCAAGCTATGCCTTGCCCCTTCTCCCAGCAAGCTGGATACTCATTTTACCAACCTCAGAAGGATGAGTCAACCTTGAGTGGGCTACCTGAACCCGTTGGGATGGAACTTGGTCCATGAGCAAAGTCTTGGCTGCAGCACTGCAGTTTAACCGCCACACTACAAGGCTATTCTCAATTTCAACAGCAGGAAACTCTCTATATCATTCAACAATCTCCTTACCAGCCAGGTAGAGGGTGTGGGAATTCTTGTTCTCCGGCACTTTGTCGGATCTCTCACAAGGCTGCATGCCGAGGAACTTCACAATGTTGTTCACGGCTTCTGCATTCAGAGAGAGAGAGAGACTCAGAAAGAGCTGGGTGGGGTGAGACCTGCACGAGAGAGAGAGAGAGAGAGATTCAGAAAGAGCTGGGTGGGGTGAGGCCTGCATCGTCTTAGGGGCAAAGCCACCCACAGTTTCTCAAGCTGAATTGTAGACTTAGTTGTGAGACTGTGGCCAGCAGCCTCGGTCAATGGGGGAAGTCTAGGTGGCCTGTTCGTAACCAAGGACCTCAGGATTCCCTTTTCCCGACCTCAGCTAAACAAGCACACTGTCTTTCCCCGTGTCTTAGGTGCCAGAAGGCACAGGGGCCTTGTAGAAATTCTCGTCCCTGAAACCTTTACCAACCACCCAGAGGCCTCATTTTACTGTTTTAGGTATCAGTGGAAACAAGCAAACTTAAACCTCCTGTCTTTTCTGCATTCGTAGAGTTAGTTCTAAGTGGGGATCTTCTCACCCTCCAGGGTTTTAATGCTGCTGAGTGCAAAGGTCTCCTCTTTCTCGTAGTCGTCTCCCACTTCCTCCCAGGCGGCGGCGAAGTTGGGCTTCAGGACCTTCTGAATGTGGTCGGAGAGCGTCAGCTCCAGATCTTCCAGCTGGCAAGGAAAGGAAGAGCGGGACTCTCAGGCGGCAGAAGGCTCGTCATTGGACAGATGGGATACCAAGCGCCCCAACCCTTCAAGAGGACCGGGCGTTGATCCGCTGGTGGATGGGGACGAGCAACCTGCAATCCTGGAGCCAAACCGGGACCCAGAGGGAGCATCTGCCCATCCCACGACCCACGAGGAAGCAGCCCAGTTCTTTTGCTGGAGGCCTACCTCCAGGAGAAAAATAAAATAAAAATAAATAAAAATATGACCACCCTCCATCCAATCTGCTTTGATTTGGGATCCCTGCCTTGAGCCAGGGGGTTGGGCTCAATGGCCTTAGAGGCCCCTTCCAACTCCATCATTCTATGATGTGTCTTCTCGTTTCTCTTGCCAGCGACACAAGATCTCTTTCAAAGGGAAACGGGAAGGAGACCCGTGACGGGAGCAAAGGATGCTGAAGGGGTATAGCGCTTTACCCCAAAGGTTAAGGAAATATGGGCTCTCCAGAGGCCGCTCCATCATCCCTCCTGACCCACCACTGGCCAGGCCAGTTGGAAGTGAGATAGGTTAGAGAGAAAGAAGATGTGGAGAGCCACAGGTTCTCCAGCCCTGACCCTACAGGACAGGGGCTACTTCACTTATCAATCAAGAGATGCAGCAGACGGATTCTGGAGCTACAACTGGCAAGAGCCTGCATCTTACAGAGAGGAGACATTCTTCCCACTTGGTACAAGAAAGGGAACCTTGCCCGCTGATTCGCAAACTTGGGAGAGGTTTAGAGGAGGGAGAAGCTGGGTAATGGATTGGAAGCTTGCTGCATAAAACACGTTGATATGCTACTGCATAAACAGACAGTATAAACTGAACGGTTTGGAACCTCCGTACATGGCAGAACACCCCGAAGTCTGCAAACAGGCAGGGAGGAAAAGTTGGCCCGTTTGATCTTCGCAGGTGGGCTGACGGAGGATGCTGACCCCGAGGGAGACCCAGAGTGAAAGAATAAGGAACTAGACTTTCTCGGCTGTGGTGGCCTTTGGAATGACCGACCACCTCAAATTCTGCCTGGCTCTCTCCTTGATGACTTTTAAGAAGCTTCTGAAAAACATTTTTATTCCAGGAGGCTTTTCAGATTCAGACAACTCTGTGAGAGGATCCGCCTTTCTAATATGTATTGCTGCCTGTTTTATTTGGTTTTCGTTGGCTTCAGTACGCATTATTTAAGCGCTTGGTTACGTTTAGGTTCTATTGCTCTGTGAACCGCCCAGTGTGATCACCATTCAGAGGGTGGCCTAAACAATATATAAATACCGTGCCGCCGCCGCCGTGTCGTGAGCCATGAGAAGCGTGAGCACAGAAGCTCCCTTACCACGTATTCGTCGTCATACCCGTCCTCGTCGGGGACTCCGCTGTTGGGGTCGCAATCCCGCACGGTGAATTTCATGGTGCAGCTGAAGGTGCAGGGATACACCGTGACTGCATTTTGGTGTTACTTGACTATTTGTAAAGTGTAACAATCCTCATGACACGGCATGCAGTTGTTTTCAATGTTGCTGAGATTCAATTTAAAGCAAAAAAGCAATTTTGGATCTAATTTTTCGGCATGAATATGTTGAAACATGTGTAGAAAGGCAGGCTGTGTTCATGTCTATGAACCAATCCCTTCTTCTATCCAGTCATCACATATCACATCTATAAAAAACCACAATCCTTTTTCTTTCCCTACTGATAGCATGTTTATAATAATTGTTGTTTTCCTAACAGGGCTCCAAATTATGCAGCCCTAGCTACCATACAATTGACTGCAAATACTGTTGAATCACATCCACTATTTTCTTTAAGTGAAAGATACTTCTATTAATTTCCTTTAAAGTCACAACCCCATTGTCAAGTTATCAGGTTGTCAAATACAGTGGTGCCTCGCAAGATGGGCACTCCGTTTAACGACGAATCAGCATTACGATGAGGTTTTTGCTATCGCAAAAGCGATCGCAAAACAACATTTTGAATGGGGGGATTTTGCTGCATGATGATTGGTTCCCTGTTTCAGGAACCGATTTTCGCTTCCCGACTATCAAAACAGCTGTTCGTTGGGTTTTCAAAATGGCCACCGGGTGCTCAAAATGGCTCCCCGCTGTGTTTAGGAGCCATTTTTTGCTGCACAGGCATCCGAAAATGGCTGCCCCTATGGAGGATCTTCACTGGACGGTGAGTTCTTAGCCGATTTAAACACATTAACCAGGTTTTAATGCGTTTCGATTTTATTTTTAATTTCACTTTATGACGTTTTTGTTCTACAGCGATTTCGCTGGAATGAATTACCGTCGTAATGCGAGGCACCACTGTACGCATTTCTATGGTTTTTTAATGTAATCAGGAAGCGTTACCGTCGTAATGCGAGGCACCACTGTACGCATTTCTATGGTTTTTTAATGTAATCTTTTCAGGAAGCGGGTAGGTGATTCTGCGGACAGAGAGATCCCACTGTACAAAGCCTTCCTGTAGCCAGCGGGTGACAGATCAGTGGCTTGATGTCAAGCTCTGAAGGCAACCTGGGTGCCAAATCACAGAAATAACAGCTGTCCCCCGCCCCCTTGTACAAGGTTCTCGACAGCGGCCAAGCTTATTCCGGCCGTGACCCAGAAAAGCAGCATGAAATTGCAGCTGCAGACAGAAGGGGGCCTGGCAGACACAACAGGAGAAAACCCTGCGGGAAGCACCCCATCCGAGCAGCTAAAGAAAGAGAGAGCACCACCCCCTTCCCCCGGCACCTGCAGTGGGGTCTTCGAGGGGGAGATGGACAAGCGTGTAGCACATGCCAGGCTGGTTGTAGGGGAGGCTCGGGGCCGGGAGGCAACGGAGCACGTCGAAGGCTTCCGAGGGCTCCATCTGCACAATCACCTTCTCCAGTAGCTGGTCGTTGAGGGTGTTGGTGCAATCGAACTGGGAAAGAGGGGGAGAGAAATAAATAAAAGGAGAGATATCAAGAGAGGGAGACAGGAGACGCAGGCAGCGGCCCTTAGCTGGGTGGGGTGGGTTGCCCGCCCACCGGGTTGCCCTCCCACCCTGAAAGAGGACAGACTCTAGCCTTGGGCATGTCATGAGAAGTCAGGATTCTCTAGAAAAACGAATGATGCTGGGAAAGACGGAAGGCAGCAGGGAAAGAGGAAGAAAAATGTGTGATTGCTGGACTCCCTAAAGGAACCACGGTCTTTAGTCTGCAAGAGCTGAGCAGGGTTGTAGGGGGGACAGGATAATTTGGAGATTGATCGTTCATAGGGTTGCTGTAAGTCAGAGGCAACTTAACAGCACACAACAAGAACGAAAAGCACGGCCACTCCATCTACTGGGCCCCCTCATAACGACATAGGTCAGGTCACATCCTTATTCGGCTCATTCATTATCCACTTAATCCTTGGTTCAGACTCATCCGTGGCAATAGGGATCTGCGTTTCAGTCCCCAGCGTGAGACACAGCCACTGCCATAAAATAATAATAAAAATAATTTGGTCATTAAAAGCGGTCCCTAAGCCCTAGTGTCAAAGGTTTGATTATTATGGCCTGCATGTTGGACAGGATAATTGTGGTGGCCCTTCTGTGTTTTCCTCAGGCTTTCTCGCAATTTGTGTCCAAAAGATTCAAGGGGTTAGACGGCCTTTTAAAAGTCCTCAGCGCAGGAAGGGCGAAACTAAGATAAACCTGAGGTGATACGCATAGAGAGTGAAAGGCCAGGGTTCGAATCCCTACTCAACCATGGAAATTCAACGTGGGTGTGGAACTGGTAAACTGGTAAAACTCCCTTTTAAGGAGAAAGGTGGGGTAAAAATATTTTAAAGACAGAAATAAAATCGCTCCTCGAAGAACCCACTTGCTCTGAACGCCGTTGGGGTTGCGAGACGTCGGTTCCGACGGGAGAATGAGGAAGGGAAGAGACCCCCGGAAAGGCCCGCGGTCAGCTGGGAGGAGATGGAAGGGGCTGCGCAAGGCCCTGAACCTTGATCTCCATGGCCCAAGTTCCACCGAGTCTGCTAAAGCAGTGGTTCCCCAACTTTGGGCCTCCAGATGTTCTTGGACTTCAACTCCCAGAACTCTTGGCCAGCAGAGGTGGTGGTGGAGGAGGCCCAAGGTTGGGGACCGCTATGCTAAAGGACGCCTGGCTTCTTACGAAGGGAGATGAGGAAGGGAGAGAGCAGAGCTAAGAAGGCCGACGGCTCCTTTTTTTCGAGACAAATGAGATGCACGGGATACGACACGCTCTGCGTTCCGCTCCGACCACCTGCCTCCCTCGGGCGACCACCGGGGCTTTGATTTTACCTGGAAGACGATGTGGTTTGAGAAGACGTGCTTGATGCACCGAACAAAATACTCGGTCTCGGCCTCGGTTAACTGGACAGGCTCGGACGACTTGAAGAGCGGGCCCAGGTTCTTGAACTCGGGAATGGCTGCCAATTGTTCTGAAGGAGAGACAAAGGGGGCGAGGGTCAGCCTTGGGCCCCCCTCCCTTCGCTCTGCCCCTCTCAACCTCCTCTATAGGGAAGGAGCAGCAGCAGTCCTTCTCTTNNNCCCCCCCCCCCCAAGCTGGAGCTCACGCCTGACCTTGGAAGATGTCATGCCGGGAAGGAGCCACTTTCTCGGGCTTGCTGACCACCAGGGCGATTTCTGGAGAGAGGAAACCCAAACACCCGTTAACGCTTCCGGCCAAAAGCAAGACGATGACGATGCATGGAGAGAAAAATCGGAAAGTTGCCCCCTCGTTTAAACGTGCCAAGCTCTGCCGGCTGCAGGCAGCACATGGAAGCCGTCTCCAGAACAGGTGGAGAGGCTTAGGGGCTGAGGTCTTTGGGCTGGAGAGCCAGAGGTTGGGAGTTCAATTCTCCCCACCGGGCCTCCTTGACAGGGGCGGGACCAGATGATCTTTAGGGGTTACCCTTCCAGCTCCGCAGTTCTAAGATTATTATACTCCTTTCAAAGGAACTAAAAACCTGGCCTGCTCTCTCTCAAAAAAGACGTGGAGACCAGGCATGCTGAGAACAGTGGAAACGGTCAAGGCCAGGTGTTCGCTTGGAGATGGGGTGGGGCAGCTACCTGAAAAGCCCTGCCTCCCCCTCAATAACGGCTTGCTCTCCAGTTCTGGCTGCGCAGGAAACCCAGGCCGGGGGAGGGGGGATGGCCCTCTTCTTATGCCTCTTGGAAGGAGAAACAGCAGTGGCCACACTGCTTGCTTGCCTGCTTGCTTGCTCACTGGCATAGGAGCTAAGTGTGCCTTGAGGAGGTGCCCCATCTGAGGGCTGCTACAAACCTGGCACTGCAGCCAGGCTGGATGATGCTTGGCCTCTCCCAGGGCCAACCGCCTTCCGACCTCTGCCCCACCCCAACCTCAGCTGCACCGAAAGCATCTGTATTGCCAGATGTGCTGGCCGATCAACTCCACCATCCTTCCTGCTGGCTGCGCCGGCCGGGGCTCCTGGGGAGCCAAAGACGAAAGCCGCCGGAGGGACAGGGGATTCCCACACACACACACACAGATGGGGGAACCTGCTATGGTTCGGTCCTTCGGGCACCCTGGAGTCTGCGCCCCGCCTCCCCCTGCAGGAACCCACTCAGGAGGAAGAGGCAGGGCAGGGACACCAGGGCGCCCGAAGGGCCGAACCATAGCAGGTGCCCCTCTCTGAGCGCCACCCCTGCCCTAAGCAGCCCACGGGGCCACACGGGCCAGACACCTGGGTGGACAATCCGTCTCATCCAATTGGATGGAAACCAAAAAAAGACAACGGTATACTTTTTTTAAAAAATTCAAAAGTTGAATGCCACCTCTTGTGATTTTAACCAGGCCCACCAAAAGCACAACATGACGCAACCAAAACCCCAAAAACAAAACAAAACAGAAAAGTCAGAGCAAAACTCGGGGGGCGGGGGGAGGAGGGAAGACGGAAATCTGACCCTTACCCGATTTCTGCTCAAAGATGGGGGCAGTGGCCAGCGGCACGGACCGCATGTCGAAGGGCTTCTCCGAAGGCTCCAGCGTGTACTGGTGCAGCGCCTTTTCCATCCCTGGGATGGAGACGGTCAGACCTGGAGGACACAAGGCCGGGCAAGGTGGGGAGGGGGGGGAACAGGACCGAAATCAACCCAGTGAACGATGCCCGCAGAGGCAGAAACCACCACGTGGGCGGCTCAAGGAGACGGCGACAATGATGACTGCGGGCTTGCTCTGGGACACCGAGGACGACCTCCAGAGCGTCCAGAACAAGAAAGAGAGAAACAGAGCATGCTTTCTGGAGAAGAGCTCCGAGTGACCCTCTTTAGGACCCCGACCGGCGACCGGATGGCCTCTGGATGCTCTTGGGATGAGGCTCGGATCGCACTGATGGCATATAAATCTAGCCCATGGAAAGGATGGAGGGAGCCTCCGGAGGGCTGCAGGTTGCTTATCCGTGCCAGAGGCAGCGAAGAGTCCATTTCCTGCCCCACGGCAAAGCCAAGCAGCCTGATCTGTTCTAAATAGAAGCACCGGCCTCAAACCCCCCCCCCCCCCGCTCTCCTTCTTCCTGGTTTCGCGATCCAGAGCAGGACCTCGGACATACTGGCCCCCTCTCCCCCTGAAATGCCCTCCCAGCTAAGGGCAGGCGCACCCCTTCCTTTCTCTCTTTTATCTCTATCGGAGACATCTTCCTGTTTGATCAGTGCCTGCCCCCTTTTCAGTCATCCCTCTCCTTCAGATGATTTGCTTTGGGGTGTTCGGTTTAACCCCCCGGCAAAATCTTCAACGCGAATGGAGGAATGTGGGCGGCTACACTGGGGGGGAAAAACCAGGAAAGGATTATCCACGTGGCTCGGGGCCCAGCCAGCACCCACCGTTGAAGATGTAGGCGGCGTTGAGAGCCAGCTGCCTCTGCTGCAGGACGTTCAGGTAGAAGGTGGCTCGGTCGCGGACTTCATCGTCACTGTCCATCATGCACCTGGGGGGCGGAGGCGGAGAAAAGACCGCCGTCAGCAAGACGAGGAAGCTCAGAGACCGGCCAAAGGAAGCAGCAAGAGCATCAGGGAAGCCGTGTCCCCGAAGCACATCCAGAGCAAAGGATGCTTCCTAGGTCACTGTGTTCAACCTTATTCTCAGAAGGGTGTTTGGAGGCAACGAGGAATGCTTGGCTGGCCTGGGGAGAGGCTAGGAAAACAGGCTTGAGTTGTTTCAAGGGGAGATATGGGGGGGGATCTTGGTTTTCTTGGACTACGACTCCCAGAATCTCGCTGCACGCAGGATATTGGGAGTTGTAGTTTTTTAAAAAGACCACGTCTCCTATCTCTGGTTCTCAAGATTCAGTCCAGAGGCAGCCAACTTGGGTAGGCCAGGGGCACAATTTTTTCTGCCCCGGGGACTTCTACAGCTTCACAAACTGCCCAAAAACTTTTTGAAGGATCCTAAAAGGAGCTGAAAAAGAGAGCAAAGTGTGCTGCTTCTATACAGCTCCCTTCTCTTCTGGCAAATTCATGGCCGACGGGGATTCTGGGCTCAAATTCAGATGCAGGCCTCCTGGCGTAATTCAGCTCACCCACCCACCCGTACATGTTCCCATCTAGGGTTTCGGATGATTTCCCAGGTGTTCCTGAAGAATCTAGCCGAAAGGAGCGGAGGAAGGCCCAGCCGTGAAAAGGACGTGGCTTTCACGCCTTGACCTGCTGGAAGACCCACCTCTGCAAGAGCACGAGGACGCTGGGAAGCAGGCTCTCGTTCTGGGCCCCGAACTTGGCCAGCGCGCTGACGGCCGCTGCAGGGAGGGAGACAAGAGGCGTGAGCCGAAGGGAAGGCAAACAGCCCGGAAGGAAGCGGCCACGGGGACCCCCTTCAGCCACGGGAAGCTCCCCAAGCTCTCCGGCCAGCTTCCTCCCCCCCATCCCAATTCAGCCACCAAAAGGCAGGCGGGCCTCATCCTGCTTGGGCGCATGATAGCCAGCCCCCTGCACCACTACCTCAGATCCTGTTTTTGTATGGACTTGAAGGGGGGAAAAAATCACCTCTTGCATCAAAACCCTATTTTGAAAATCCATGTTGTAAGTCATCTGTTGCACGTCCAGGGGTGTGCGCAGCCTGGCGATGCCAGTGTCTCAGCGTGGGGCTCAAACCGTACCCGTTGGTGCCAGGCCAATCCAAGTGGCCTTGGGTGTTTCATTTGGCGTTATGCAAAAACCCCTCAGGCCCACACCCTCTTTAACCTCTGCGGACTTCCCCCAGGGACTCTGCACACCGGTGGAGCGGAAGGGCAGCCGGCCAGCCAGCTTCGGCGAACTCACCTGCCCGGACCGCTTCGTTCTCCAGCACGACCCGGTTAAAGATGAAGCGGATGTACTTGGACGGGGAGGGGGTCCGGGGCCCCTCCTTGCCGAGGAGGTGGAGGATCTTGGTGGCCAGCACCGTGTGCTCGCAGTCCTCGATGAACTCACAGAGGTGGGCCAGGCCGGCCTCCTTGCTCTCCGGGTTCTCCTCGATGATGCTGATGATGCAGTCGACGATGGCCCGCTTGTACTCAAAGCCACCCTGGGGCCCCGGGAGACAAGAGGTGGGGGAGACCGCTCAGGAGACGGGCTGCAGGCCGGTCCCTCTGCCCAGGCCAGCAAAGGTCCCCCTGCCTTAGTGACTCTTGGGAAAGACACCGCCAGCCGCCTGCAAATCACCGCAGGTGGACAACACTCCGTCGGTACTTCCTCATCGGCAAAAATGATTTTTTTTTAAAGCTGAAAAAGCTCTCTCTTCCATCCGCTAGTGGCCTTGCTGAAACAAAAGCCACTGAATACATTTCGGCCATCGAGCCTCTGAAATATTCCTCCAGTTAAATTTAATCCAGCTAAATCTGCCTCCCGGGCTCCCAAGAAGGCAAAAGGGAAGACCTTTCGGAAGCCTTTTTAAAATTTTATTTTAATGGGATCGGGATGTGCTGGACGACAACATCTGGCATCTAGCTCACAACCCCTGAGAGTCTGTCTCCCTGTCTCTCCACCCACTGATGATGTCTTGTTGAGCTTAAACGGTCGGATTCTCTCCCTGGGAAAATCAAGACACGCTCCATCTGTCATGAGCTTGCCCCAAGGAGCCACAACGGCTGCTCGGTCTCACCCAGGCCGTGGGGAGTCCAAGGGGTTTGAAACGCTGGCTTACAACAGTTAAAGCACATTTTAAACAACCGTTGGCTTTCTTAGGGTTCCTGCAAAACATCTTCATCTTTTTTTTTGCATCACTCCAGGGACCGACCCCACAAGGACTGAGAGGTCATCGACAAATACTTTAACTGACAAATAAAACAGGGGCTAAAGTCTTGTTGGGCAACTCCGTGTGGAGCTAAATGGCAGAGATGTTATCTGTGACAAACTGCTGCTCTCTTTAATTTAATTTAGGGTTAGGGTGAAGTTAAAGCTTCCCAAAGGTTAAGAACCACTGCTTTAACTGACCAATAAAACAGGGGCTAAAGTCCTGTCGGGCAACTCCGTGTGGAGCTAAATGGCAGCGATGTTGTCTGTGACAAACTGTTGCTCTCTTTAATTTAATTTAGGGATAGGGTGAAGTTAAAGCTTCCAAATATGCCACTTCTCATAGTCCAAGGCTCCCCCTTTGGCTCTGGGGAAACCTCCGGGAGCTTTGGGAGGAGGAGGCCGAATTCCCGTTAAGACCTAATGCAGTGGTCCAAGGGTGAAGTTAAAGCTTCCAAATATGCCACTTCTCATAGTCCAAGGCTCCTTTGGCTCCGGGGAAGCCTCCGGGAGCCTCAAGAGGAGGAAGCTGAACTCCCGTTAAGACCTAATGCAGTGGTCCCCAACCTTGGCCCTCCAGATGTTTTTGGACTACAACTCCCAGAAGCCTTCACCACCACCTCTGCTGGCCAGGATTTCTGGAAGTCCAAGAACATCTGGAGGCCCAAGGTTGGGGGCCACTGACCTAACATTTGCTCTCACTGAGACTGGGACCTGCAAGTGACACAGTAAGAACCGTGTGGGCCGTGGGTAGGGGGGTGACCCTAACCCCCCCTCCCCCAGTGCTGGCCCCATGGGCTCTCCGGCGGTGAAGGCAACTCACATCATCGCGAAGCATGTTGGACAGGAAGGTCATCATCACACTGTGTTTCCGCGGGTACTTCTGGCACAAAGCGCTGATGGCTTGGACGACCACCACCTGCAAAGACAGCGCCAGAAGGAGCCTCGAGAGGGGCACCAACTCTCACTGGGGGAGGGGACCCGGGGAAGTTGCCCGGGAAGGGGGCAACCTGAACCCCCAGGAAGCCTGGGGGGGCCAAGAGCCAAGAAAGGGACAACCGGAGAACGGGAGTTCCCACCCAGGGCCCACCCGGACCCGCTAAGGCACCGACGGGGGCGGTTCGGATCCGTCCTCACACGACTGGAGCACCTTCAAGGCAAAGCCCTTTTTCTCTTCAGCCAAGCATCTTCAGAGGACAGGAGTCAGAACTCTGTCTGTGTTCTGGTGCAGTGTGTGGGATAGTTGAGCCACCAACCAAGTTCTGGTATCCCACACGCTACACCAGAACACAGACAGAGTTCCTACTCCTGTCCTCTGAAGAGGCCCATGGCCACAGAGACTGGCGAAACGTTAGGAAGAACAACCTTCAGAACAAAGAGCCAAAGAGCCCGGAAAACGTACAACAACCATTAGATCCCGGCTGTGAAAGCCTTCGCGAATACGGGGGGTGGGTGGTACTGCTTGTCAGAGGGGTGGCCTAAGTACAGTACCTGAATACGGGAAAACAGTTACCAAGTACTCTGAGCTAAATCCAGTATTTCCACCTAAAACAGACGCAGGGAATCCATGGGAATTTGTCAAAAGCAACATATGCTGCTTATATACTTCCCCATCGCACTTAAAGCATTCTCTGGGGTTGACAATCTAATTATGCGGGCTACACATTGTCCCCCCCCTACTCCCCAGCAAACTGGGCCCTCAATTTGCCAGCCTCAAGAAAGAGGAAAGGTGGCGTCCACCCTCAGGGTGGCTGTCTAAGCCCTGCAGAACTGAACTCAAGATTGTGAGCAGAGTCTTCACTGCAGTGTAACCACCATGCCACAAGGCTCCTGTTAAGTTATTAACTTGCCAAGCCGCGTCGCTTCAAGTCTGGTCGTGATTAATCCTAGGATATCATCACCATCTTAGAACTGCAGAGCTGGAAGGGATCCGGTGGATCACGGAGTCCAGCCCCGGTCAAGGAGGCCCTGCGGAGGAATTCGAACTCCCAACCTCTGGCCCCTGAGCATTCCAGAATCCAGACTAGTCTTTACTAAGGACCCAACTTATTCAAGCTGCGGAGCCTTCCAGGTTCCTCGAAGTTTCCCCTCCCATGATGGGGAAGCGAAGGAGAACAAGGATCTGGCCAAACCACCTCTCTTTCTCTCTCTCTCTCTCCCCCGACCCCGACCCTTTGCCCAGGAAAAGTCTGCCCGACGCCCAGGAAAGCCGGCGGAAACCCCACCACCACCACACACACCTTGAATTCATCCGATATCTCAGAGACAAAGGAGGAGATCTGCTTCATGAGCCGGTCCACGCTGCTCTCGCTTCCGGTCTTCAGGAGGGTGGTGATGGCCAGGGTGGCGATGCTGCGGTTCGAGTCGGTGATCAGGTTCTCCAGGTCCAGGTTGCAGGCGGTGACGGCCGAGGGGTGCTTCATGGCCACCTGGGAGGGCGGCCAAAAGAGCGACTGTACTGCAGGGCAGAGAATCCCGCCGGGAGAAGTCTCCTTGGCCTTTGCCGTTTGTACCGGCGGCCCTCGGGCTGGCGCCGGACGACGCAGGATCAAGCCCCGGGTAGGGTACCCAAGGCTGGTAAGGGTCGCCCGGCCCCAGCAAGACCCACCCCCTGTCTCTGCACCAGACGGGAGACTATCGCACCCCTCCTTCCAGCTCTCGCAGACCTAGGGAGGCAGCCTAAAATCCTGCTGTGACCACCCAGCTCCGGGGATTTTGAAGCAGGTTAGAGATCAGACTCTGGAGAACGAAGATCCAAACGGCTGCCGAGGACACCCTTATTAAGAGGGTGTGTTTGGGCAACCGGTGCCCGAATCTGCTGCTTAAAAGGCCGTCACGAGTGCTGTCGCTCACGGGGGCGACCCGTGTTTTGGAAGCCAGGCTTCCTTGAAAGAACAAGAGGGGTTATTGGGGGGGGCAGTGGTGGCTTCCAGGGTTAGAGGAACCACATAGGGGCTGGAATGGGGCTGCTTCTACCCCAAACTTCAGCCGCAACAGTCATGGCTCTCTATAGTGCCAGAACGCACCAGAGTGCCCTCGTGAACCACAGAGATGACAGGCAAGCAGGGCAGAGTGTCTTCTTTCCTTCAGAAGAGGACGGGAATGATGGTGCCCCCCCACATGCCCCATGTTGGTGCAATGACTGGTTTTTTAGCAGTGGCTCTTGGCGGTCGTGGCAAAGGGAAGCACACTGCTTGGGGGGGCCCTCTGTGCAGCCCCTTCGTAGGCCCAGCGTCCAGCCCTGTACAAAGAAATGTGGCAGCCAGGACTGGGTCACCAGCAAGGGCTAGAAGAAAAAAGACCCCAGGGCGTGGTGCTCCCAAAATCGCCGGCAAAGCCAAAAGTACGGGAACCACGTCGGTTCTGCTGCGTCGGACTGGGGGCAAAGACGGAGGGGTTCAGAATCGCTCACCTTGTTCAAGGTCCTCACGGCGGCATATCGTAGGACAGGCTTGGGAGAGCTGCAGAAGAGCTGAAGCACTGGAAGGGAAAGAAGCCTGGCTGAGTGGATGGTTTGGACTACCACAAGGCGCTCTACGTGGGGCTGCCCTTGAAGAGTGTTTGGAAACTCCAGGCTGCTTCCCAGGCTCCCAATCTGTTTCTGAGCCCTGTTCAAAGCGCTGGTTATTATCTATAAAAACCCCTACAAGGTTCTGGGTATTTGAAGGATCGTATCACCCCATAGTATGAGCCTTTTCGGCTCTTAAGGTCCTCTGTGGAGGCTTCCCAGGCTCATCTGGTGAGGGCACGAGGCAAGGCCTCCTCGGGGGTAGCTACCAGGCTTTGGAATGCACGTCCCCACCCTTCCTGTCCTTCCCTCGTCACGCATAACCTTTCCTATTCAGCCTGGCCTTTAAGCAGTTACGCTCTCTTAGGAATGCTCGCTTCAGGAACTTTACATGTTTTTAAATTGTTTTCCTGCCTGATTTGTTTTACTCTTTATGTGTGTTTAATTGTCTTTAAAATGGAATATTTATGTAGAGATTTAAAATTTCTTGTTTGGGGAGAAAGGTGACGTATAAATAAAATAAAAGACAAAATAGAGAAAGGGGTCTGACTCGGCCGTCTGGAAGCCCACATTTTGCTTCCAGAAAGCCCCGGGTTCAGTTCCTGGCATCTCATCTCCCCTGTTAAAAAAAAGGAGAAAGCAAGGCAAGGAAGAGTCCCCCTCTATGCCTGGGGAACTGGAGAAGACAATCCTGGGACCAGAGATTTGAAAAGTTACTTTTTTTTTTCTGGACCGCAGCTCACCAAGCTGTAGTCCAAAGAAGGAGCCGGGCTCAAGGACTCCTCTGGACTCCTCTTCTAGAACTGACAGGAGCTTGAAAAGCATCCCCGAAGTCTCTAGAATGCCATGGCCCAGGGCAGCTCGCAGCCGGGGGCTTCTGCCCCACCGACAGCCCTCTCGAACCCAAGGCGGTTCTCTGCAGGGGCTCACCTGAGACAGCCGGTGCCAGCTCCCGGGCGGTGCAGTTTGGCAGGTGGATGATGGCCGAGGCGGCCTCGTAAATGACCATCTCGTGCTTGTTTCGCAGGCAGCTTTCAATGAAGTCAAAGAGCGGGCTGTCGTGCCTGTTGAGGAAAGAGACAACGGCTTTTACAGACTATTTACGGTGCCGATCCACCACAGGGCCTTCTCCCTAGCTCGATGGCATGCTCTTCCCCCAGAGGTTACCAAGGGGAGGTACAAAAATATCCCTTTGTGGTGACGGCACAGGAGACTCAACTACACACGTATCATGTGACACGGCCGGTTCTATCATGAATCAGGTGGTAAAGTTTCTTTTCCATCTGCTTATCGTATTTTTTCCGTGTATGAGACACCCTGATGTATAAGATGACCCCCACTTTTCTAACCCCGAATTAGGAAATTTGATTGCAACTTTCCCCGTCACTTCCTAAGCCCCACAGAGCTTAGGAAAAGGAGGGGGAAAGCAGCGATCCAAGTGATCCTGCAGCCCGTTGATCCCTGCTTTTCCCTCTCCCTTTTCTAAGCCCCACGGGGTTTAGCAAGTGGAGGGGGAAAGCAGCGATCAAAGCGCGACAGGATGGCTCTGATCCCTGCTTTTCCCCTCCACTTGTTTTTGTTCTCAGGTAACTTCCGTGTATAAGACGGTCCTCAATTTTTGGTCTAAACATTTTAGACAAAAGTATAGTCTTATATACGGAAAAATATGGTAACACATATTTGGGCTCTTCTGAAAAAAAGTTCTCACACAAACTATTTTTAGGCCTTAATCTGCAGACTACATGTACTGGCACATTTCTCGCAGCTGCATGCAAAATACATAAAGATTTAATGGATAATGATTTTCAGCTATAGCTTTCCTTTCATCTCTTCGTTCCGCTGCATTAGTATTGCGACTGCCTTATACATTCAATCTGTATCATGTTCAGTGTCTTTGGCTGGTCGCGCTCCATAATATTAGTAAACCAAACAAAACTGGACTCTTGGCACAGTCGAGAAGCCCTGGTGCGCAAAGCGCTGACTGAAACCCTGGCTGCTGAGCCGACCAATATGGTTAGCCCTCCATCGGCGCCTCTCCCACTGTTGCCTGAGAAGAAGGGGCCTCCTTGGCTCTATGGCCTTCCAGATGTGGGTAGACTGCAGCTGACATCATGCATTTCTATCAGCTTCGTTAACAAGGACACACGGGAGTCTCAGTGTAACATCTGGAGGGCGGCATGACATCCACTCCCTACTACACACCCATGAAGAGAACTTTGAAATGCGCTGCATCCCTTCCCAAAGTACAACCATCCTAAGAAACTCCATTTCTTCTTTAAGTATGACGCTTTGCTACCCAAATGTTCAAGGTAAAGGTTTCCCTTGACATTTAGTCCTGTCTCTAGGGGGCGGTGCTCATCCCCATTTCCAAGCCATAGAGCCAGAGTTTGTCCGAAGACAGTTTCCGTGCTCACGGGGCCAGCGTGACTAGACAAGCAACGCCATGACCTTCCCACCGAGGTGGTACCTATTTATCGACTCGCATTTTTACATGCTTTTGAACGACTAGGTTGGCAGAAGCTGGGAGAAGTAACGAGAGCTCACTCCGTTGTGTGGATTCGATCTTATGACTGCTGGTCTTCTGACCCTGCAGCACAGGCTTCTGTAGTTTAGCCCACAGCGCCACCATGTCCCCTAAATGATCAAAAGGTTGGCATGAATTACCTATTGTTTAAAGCAAGATTGTACAACTGTGACATCCCTGATGCTTTTGGGCCAAAGCAGCTATAATCCATCATCGCCGGATGCAGAAGGGGTCTGTAGATCCTTGGCCTCGGACTCCTCCTGCCATGGGGAGACCAGATCATGCTCACGCCACTGAACTTCCCTTCTCCTCCGCGGGAAGCCTTACGTACTACACTCACGGCCTTCTGTATTTTTTTAATGCTTCTGAGGAAGGCGGCCTGGGCGCAGCAACACCCGGACACCTTGGTAAACTCCCCACCGGTGTGGAATCAAAGAGAGCAGAGGTTCCAAAATCTCTGCCAAGCCCCCGCAAACCCCTTACCCCTCCTCAGACTCCTTCAGGAGGCGGCTGGCAATCCGAATCAGCATACAGTAGGCAAACTGGGACTTCAATACGGATTTGGTGAACTTATTCAGCATTTTGGAGACGGCGAGGCGGTCGTTCTTCCGAAGGTGGTACAGCAACCCTAAAGCATGGTACTGGCAAAGGGGCGTGGGGTGATGGAGGGAAGAGAAACCACAAAAAGCCCCTGTGATGGCTCTGCTCAAGGGTATGGCCAGGATCCTCCTGTCGTATTGCAACAGTCTAGCATGCAAAGAGCAGGGCAGGTTCTGAGCTTGTACGAGGGGGTATCCAGTAAGGTCTCACTGTGCATGCTCAAACACGGTTCCTATTCAGATCCTGAACTGATTTCCAGTCTATCTCGACATCGCCTTCAATGTCTCTAAAGGACGTTCTAGGTATGTTTCCAGATAGACTTTCCGATCCTTGAGCTGGATGACTCATAATCTTAATCTTAGAAGTGCAAAGGTGGAATCGACCCTTAAGGATCATCCAGTCCAGCCCCTGTCCAGGAGGCACTGGGAGGAATCGGACTCCCTACCTCTGGCTCCCCAGCCAGAGACCCAAATGACTGAGCTAGTCAGCATTTTAGATTATTCTATCTGCTTCCCTATACTGTTTTTCTTCATGCCCTCAACTTCTTTCCAGAACTGCAATGGGGTAACATATTTTCTTCTGAATACAGTGGTGCCTCACATAGCGAGGTTAATCTGTTCCGGATTAACCCTCGCTATGTGAAAACATCGCTGTACGGAACGGGGAAAGCCATTGGTTTTCCCCGTTTAATGCGTTCCAATAGGCTCCAAAACTCACTGTTCAGTGAAGTTTTCCCATAGCCAGCAGCCATTTTCGCGCCCTCGGTAAGCGAGGGGAGGGCGCGAAAACGCGGGCGGCCATTTTGGGGCTTCCGGCGGCCATTTTGGAGCCGCTGAACAGCTGATCGTCAGGCGTCGCAAAGCAAAGATCTGTAAGCGAAACGCTTACCAATCTTCACTATCCGAGTTTCGCCCATAGGGGCCATCAGTATGCGATCGCA